TTTTCAAAATTAAAGCTTTCAATATAATGCAATATAATGCAAAATGGCTTTAAAAAACTGTAATATTCATTTCATGAAAGCCCGATTTAGTAGTCTCTGTACTAACTAAATCCTAGTTTTTGCTCCTGAATAAAAAATGAAAAATGTCTTGTAAATATAAATGTGAAAAAAATGATAAGGGCTAAATTCACATTATAGACAGCATGCTGGAAGGCGTGACATGATTGGTAGACTTTTTCAAAATGCATTCTGGTATGAGTCATATATTTTACACCCTGCATTTATATATCTAAGTCAATCATCAGGACAATCTTATGAAATAAGCTAGGTAAGTTTCTCTTCTCTGTCCTCCAGTTGAGGAGGTAGAGTCTTTAAACTGGTCATGACCTCCATGGAGATCTTCTAGCTCATAAAAAGGGTCAGGGGCAGGACTCAGCACCACGTGAATCTGAGTACAGTATGCTACACTATGTGGTATGCAAATTATAACCAGAATTATGCAGCAAGCTCCTTGATATTAAAATAAAAAATGATTTCTAATTATGCTTATGGGGTAATGTGTGAGGAAAGCAATTTATATTTTAATTTAATAAATATTTATTGAAGGAAAATCATTGTGTTAGAAGCAACAACAGGAACCAAAAAGTAAACAATGCTATAACTCTCTTTAACCAGGAAGATCTATATGTATCTACCTATGCATATAGGAAGAGACATCTTCTCTAAACAATCTGAAAATAGTCTATCATACAAGCAATAAAATAAGCACAGCTCCCTTTTCTGATATGTTTGGGGCAGCTGAAAAAAAGGATGAACATATACAGGGATGAAAGATTTATGTAGGATCCTGTTTATTCTTAAGTTTACAACCCTATTCATTTGGTTGAAATGAGCTTTATGTCACAACTGCCTTTAGACTCACTGTGCCTGGGAGAAAGTTCAGTGTTTTCATTCCTGAATCACGACCAAATTCAGGCAATACTGACACATCCTGACACTTGCTGTCAAGACGTAGCTCATAATGATGCTACTGGATTTGGGGACTTCATAATGAAACTCTTTTCAGAACTTATACTGGTGAATTTGACGTTTTATTCTTTGTTTGCAGACATGAGCTGAGGTATCAAAATTCAGAGAGGCTGCTTTATAATAGGTTACTATTCTTATATGTCAGAGACAAGAAAATGACCATTTGTACTTCTTCAGGCTGTGGATGGAGACCGTCCCTACATGTATATCTGCAAAACCTCTCTCGGTGTGTCTGTATCTCTCTCCCTACATGCTTCACTTTTATCCGTGGCTCTCATTAGAGAATTTGGCCTTTTCTATTCCCCAGAAGCACACGATTTTGGAACACCAATTTCGATGCTTTTAAATAAAGTTGTTTCCTCCCCCAAACACATTTTCACCTTGAATTCATATTCCTTTATGGAATTCAGGCATATCCATCAACTCATCAGTCAGAATCCTGAATATGACTTGAAATAGATTCCCTCAGGTAAAAAATAATTTTGTGAAAGTGTTTTTATTACTTTCAGTTTAACACTTCAGGGTTCTCACTTTGACTTTTTAAAAACTCAAGAATTTCTAATTTTTTTAAAGTCACAGACAGGTAAAATTCTCCGAGTCAGTGAGCCATCATCATGAATCATTTTTAAAAGCACCAGAGTAATTATGCAGAATTAAAAAACATTAAAAGGTTATTTTTGTCATCTCTGACTTTATTCTCATCCTCACCATGCTGTGAATATTACTTTATGATAGCATTTTCATCAAGGTAGAAAACTTGTCTTCATATGCTTGCTGAAACACTAAGTCTCTTGTTCAGTCTAAAAGTGATGTCATTTCCTGTACACCACTTGCAAAGCTTTGTTTTTAAGGAGTCATTGTGTTATTATGCATTATATTGTTTCATAAACAGTTCCATTGTCCTGGATATGTACTCCCTGCATGTTAGTAAAGATGGAGAAGGAGAAGGCAAAGCCTGAGGTCATGTACTCTCATTTTGCGTGGACCTGTGACTCTGGAGAGAAACCATCACTAGCCTGTGGTTACAAATAGTAAGCAACAGATTCTCCACCTAGCACTTGGTGAAATATGCATTTTTAATATCAGAAACACATAAAGCTGGTCCTAATTATTTCTGCAGGGGATGAAGGTAGAATGGAGCTGTTTTGTTTTAACACAGAAAAGCTCAATGGAAGTTTTAGAATCTTTTAAGAAAACAACAGGGAATTACATCAAGATCATTAGAAATGTTTTAGCAAATGCCTTTGAACTGCTAGAATATGGCTCATGTTTTCAAATGTATATGTGTATAAATATATGCTTTTAAAACTTAAAATGTATTTGAGTCAATGACTGGACTGAGATTCCCAATATGCCTATTTATAATTACAGAGATTTTGTTTTCTATTCTTTTGGGATGGGGGTACAGGTCATTGCAATGAGCAATTGTGTCCTTAAAGCTTTGGGTTTTTATTGATTATTTACTTAGGAAAAACTCCAAAAGAATTATTGGCTTGACATCATGACTCCCTTTGCGGCCCTGGCTTCACGCAGCTGTGCTGCTTTTCAGTGAGGTTGTATCATTTTCCACTTACAGTGTTCTTCTTACTTTCACTATTGGTTATCACAGCCCACAGCTGCTGCTAAATGCCATTTTCCTTCCACTGAAGGGCCAGTTATAGTGGATAATACATGTGCTCCCTGAGGCTTTAATTAAATTAGCGTCTGCTTCAACCTTAGCATGTAACAGCTTATGAAAGGAACTCTAGATATTAAACAGCATGGAGCTATTTGAAGAGTGAAATATGTCATCTATGAAGAACAAAAGAATCTGGAGGAGGGTTTCAAACCAGTGAAACTGGAGTCTCCACCATTCTTCAATAGTTGCTGCAATCTTTTGAGGAGGCTCTTGTTCTTCTTCCCCTAGGCGATTAACACCTGGGAAGGAGTGTCTTCTGTCATTATCACGTAAGGGAAACTGTATAGAAGCCTGCTGAGGGCATTGCCAGGCCAGGCCTACTTCTCGCAGATCATAAGCAACATTAGCCCAAAGTGGCTGACCTGCTAGGAAAGAAACTATCTTATCTATTTAGATTGCTCTGGAAATAACAGTGGGGCCATCATATTTCAAAGATGAGCAATATTATTTATCCCATATTCACTGTAAAATGTTTTCCTACATAAAAGTGAGAATTCATCGACCAGATTTTCACCTCTCTCAGAAAAGATAAAAGGCAAATAGAAAAACACCTCAATAATCTAGCCCCAAGAAATGCTCCCAGAATCCTACTTATCTGGCTAAAACTTCTCTGCAGATCTCTCATTTCTGCTCTCAGCAGCACAACATGCAACCTGGTTATTGCTATATTTACCCTTGTTTTCTTGTAGGATGCTCTCACAGGCATAGTGGGAGCTAAATTAGGCTCTGATAGGGTTTCCTCATCCTGAACCCTTTTTCTGAGCTTGCTGCATTCATAAATAGCCTGCCAGGCTTTGGGCTTCTGAGGTCACCGTGCTTCACACAATTGTTCTCTACAGGACTACGTGAAAGACAGTGCCTGGGCTGAGGCCTGCAGTTCCTGGAAGCTGGTTTTCTCAGCATTGAAGGGCTATCTCTCCTCAAAGAAAAGCACAGCCCTGCTGTGGAGGGTGACCTTGGTCATTGTTCTTGGGGCCTGTGACTTCAGAAGTGGAGGTTGCTCCTGAAATGATAGGACCAACCTCTAACCTGATACCATCTGGCTCTCAGGACGCTTATATAAATAGCAAATTGATAGCTGCAATGGAATAAATGCTTTGTAAACTCTCCTGTACTTAAAAGGCATGCAAATTAAGGTATGATTTGAATATTTTTCCTTCCCATTTCCTTGACACTTTTCAGGCTTAATCCTATCAGACGTCAGAAAGAATAAGTAGATAAAATGTAATGACCAGTCATTAATCAATAAGAGGGAGATGTTTGGTAGATACAGACAGAAGTTGAAAAAAATTCTAATGATTAGAAGTTTGATGAAGAGGTTTAAGAAGGTAGTATGGGGGAAAGAATGAAGGAGAGCATTAAGAAATTGCTGATTTGTTGACATAAATATATTAGTTGCCATGTAGCTATATATAATATGCAGCAGCAATTAGGAGATTGCAGTTCAGTCATCAATATCACATTATTTTTTCCCCATTGGCTTTTCTCTTATTCTTAATGACTTACTTTTTTTTTAATAAAGTCCATGAAAATTTCCTAAAATAAACATCCTAATAGTTTTCATTTATTTCCATGGTTGCTGTAAAGTTAAAAACAAAAAAAAAATTATTTCACTACTTTTCTCCAATTCAGTAATTCATGGCAACCTGCAAGCTTTAGGGAAGGTCTCCTTTTGAGACAGAGCAGAGAGATCAAAGAAACTGAAGATGTGATAAACAACTTACTTTTAAAACGTGTTCAAATGTATTTTGGACCCATCTCTATAGGAAAGTGCATGAAGCCTTTTTGGGCTGTCAAGTACTTGAATGATTATCATTAAATACCTCAGACATATGAAGCGAATTAAGGTACTATAATGAACTTGTCTGTATCTAATATTTTTGAACAAGGAATAAACCATCCCCGTGGTTATTGTACCCCCTGTATCTCTCTCTGACTGCATTCCCCTTCCTTCTTTGTGAAGGCAGCCATTCAACATTACCTGTAAATGTATTTGAAGTCAAACCACGTTGTAAGCACTGCAATGTCATAAACAGTAGAAAATGTTGACTCCTTATTTTTACACAGTTTCTGATGAAGGCAGAGATACTACTATATCTTAGTTTCAGATATAATTGAATATACTTTCTTACCTACCAAACATAAGAAATGTTTGAGAATGTAAGTCAAAGCAATGGTTTTCATATTGCTATGAATAGATATTCCTAGGAATATGAAAAGGAAACTAACAGTGTCAAGTATCAATACCATCGTATAAATAACAGTCAGTCTTTCCTTTGTTTTCCTTTCTTCAGGTGAGTTGGGTGATATGCCAAGTAACAGGGTTTGAGGGTGGCACATCCCACATCCATGTGTGACCACCCAATCATCATGCTCATGAAATACAAAAGGATCTGATTCAGTCTTTTCCTGTGAAAATAATTCTACTGACTTGGAACTTTTTAAAAAATATGCAAAAGCATTTAGATCACCCAGGATTACATTTGGCCTTTCATGTGTGCACTGGCCTCACCTGTATTTACACAATGTCATATTCTTTCTCTTACAGTTGGCATTCTGTTTTTCCCTTGGGCCATATTCCTGGTTTTAGAACACATATACACATATGTAGAGTAAATAGCCTCAGAGGTAATAATCTGAAAACCTCAAAATCACCTGTCAATCAATTTAAATAAATTCCAACTGATTATTTGACTACAGTTACTTATGATTGGATTAAACTGACAGGCACATCATTGAAATGAACTCACAAAAGAGCTTTTTGATCCAATAAAACAGAAGTTATAAAAATGAAAAACATACAATTGCTAATGTCATAGTTTGTCTTTAATTAAGTCAGCCCTAAGTTATCTGGGGCTTCATGTTTCTTTCCAAAGCTCAACTAAAGGGCTCTCTACTTTATATAATCTATAAGGACTGTACTGCCATTTGGCTTTTAGTAAGATCTCTTAGTTATAGCTATGTCTGAAATTTAGGAACATATTCTCCTACTAAGTTGGCCAGGAAAGTTAGAAGAACATTTGAATGAGGCAGAGCCATGTCACCTGGCATATGGAAGAGTAATTTTAATTTTAAAAGAGTGCAATTAATTTCTCTAATTGTGTATCCAGGCACCTGATTCTTGGTATGGTACAGTGACTCGTGAAGTATTTTTATAATGTTCCTAAATCATAGAATTGACAACCTTCAGTTCTAAAATGGTTTAAAATAAGATGCATTTTTTTTCTTTACTTCTAAAGAGGCTATCGTGGCTGTGACAGTGTAGAAACTATTTACTTAACTTCAGGCTTTCTCTCCTTGCATTCCACAGCCCCAGCGTTCCCATCCCATCTGTGACTCCTGGTCACTGAGACATAAAGTAGAGGGCAATGCCAAGCAGCACTTAACTTTCAGATTTCATGGTGAACTTCTCCATGTAAGAAAAGGAGTCCTCGCAACTATGCTATCACTTACTTTGGGGGCAGGAAATTATTCTAGACCTAATTAATCCAACTCATCATAAAAACTTCCCCCATTGTCAGAAGTTGTCTAGGAGAGACTGCTGCACAAATATTTTCTAAGAATTGCTTGAGAACCTGCTAAGATACTTCCAAGCCCAAATAATTTAGTTTGTAATGCAAGATTAGGAAACTGATGTACAGGAGAAAAAATCAGGCAATCACTCAGCCATAATTTGGCCTCACTTTTCAAGAAAATGCTGTCTACATAGATATATTTCTCGTTAGAGCTTACCACACTTTAATACGTCTCAACAAAGTCTCCATGAATACCTAAAGTGTTATCATTCAAAGGCTGAAGCTAAATTTTCTGTTCTGTTTTAAAGTTATTATAGTCAAAATGAAGAGATTTAGCCTGGTATGGTGACCCATGTCTGTGATCTCAGCTACTCGGGAAGCTTGAGACAGGAGGATCACTTGAGCCCAAGAGATCAAGGCTGCAGTGAACTATGTTTGGGCCGTCAGCCTGTGAGATAGAGCAAGACCCCGTCTCTATAAAATAAAAAGCAAGAAATAGGAGTAAAAAATAAAATTTTTCCCAGTTTTCTTTTTTCTTTTTTTTTGAGACAGAGTCTTCCTTTGTTGCTAGGTGCCAGGCTGCAGTGCAGTGGCACAATCTCTGCTCACTGCGATCTCTGCCTTCTGATTCAAGCAATTCTCCTGCCTCAGCCTCTCAAGTAGCTGGGACTACAGGCACATGCCACCATGCCCAACTAATTTTTGTATTTTTTTTAGCAGATATGGGCCCACTTTTCAATAAGTTTAAGTGTTTTGGGTTTTTTTGTTTTGTTGCAAATTTACTGTAAAATAACCAGTCCACCAAGATTGGTAAGTAGGACCATACTAGGTGTTGACAGTATTCTGACATGCTTAATGAGAAATCTAACACCAAGCTGGAAGGTTGGAGAAAATAAAGAAGCAATCGTAGTCTGAGGGTGATATAGCATATTTCCCAAATCTATTACCTGGTAATGAAACAGGGAAAAGAAAGACACAAAACAAGTCTTACAGGGTTTCAGATCCATTTCTAAAGATCTCTAGAAAGATACAGAGACATGTTTCTTATTAACAACCTCTCACTACTCTTTCAGGCTGGAAGCATTTCCTTCAAGCTGGTACAAGGCTCTGATGCAACCAAAGCCTTCTTCCTCTACTGTTCTCCAGGGAAAGGGTAAAGAGCTACCCATTATCCTGTGCGTAGACATCTCTCAGGCACTTCCCAACTAAGGTTAATTAAAAGCTCAACTCTTTCTTTCCCAAGCTAATAAAGACCTCTTGATATTTTCTGGTTTCTCAAGACGGTCATCTTCCATTGATGCTACCATCCCCCCAAAGTAGGATTTTAGGCAGTAAGTCAATTAAAGACTAGTCTGTAAAAAGTAATTTTTGATTATTTTGTCATTTGTTGCAGGCCACTGAATTAGCCTTAAACAAACCATGCGGACCGTCCCTTTCTTGGTCTCAGTGCAGGCCCCTTTCCTTAAATAAAGCTGGCTCTGCCCCTGCCATTGTGGAATCTCAAAGATAATCATTTTTCAATTATTCATGATTTTGCAACCGTATTATATATCAGAGATAATAAAATCAACCATGATATGACAAAAACCAGATGTTAAACCCACTAAAAGCCCTGGATGATCTTTTCCCCCTATTTTTAGTGTTACATAGTTAAAGCCATCTTTTAAAAATTTCTCTTTTCTTCAGGCCTTTATTTTCAAAACTCACTAAAGCACTATACTACTTTCTTTGATTTTTATTATAAAATATTTTTTAAAGTCACTTAAAAATGTGGGTTAATTTTGCCCATCACTTTAACTTTAGTGGCCAGATTTTATGATTCTGTTTACTTTTAACTTGATCTAAGTTGTTACTATACTAGGTATATAGGTGCTATCTTAAAAGCCACTCTAGATTTTGGAAATAGAACAACTTCTTCAGGTTTAAACCAGGACAGGTGATACATGAAAAATGAAATGAACCTTCTGCTGAAGTTACCTTATGCTATTTATACATATTATGTGGTTATTTCTTTAAAATCTAGGTTCTCAGGCCCCAGATCAGAGATTCTGATTTAGTATTTCTGGCTGGGGACCCCATGAGTCTACATTTTAAAATAAAAACCCCAAATGGTTGTAATACTGATATTGCAAGTGACACAAATCGAGCAACAGTGAACCAAGGAACAGGATGTCCCATTAGACAAAGCAGAAAGAGAGGCTTCCAGAAATCTAACCAAGACTTGAAGAAAGGGGACAGAAACTATAGCCTAAATAATGGTGTTAAGAGAAATAAGAAGAAAGTGTGAGATGAAAAAGGCAGAAGTTTTGCATGGAGTGTACAGAAGGGAAAATGAAAGCACAGGAATCTGAGACCTCACACTGTTCAAAGAAAGAATATCTTAACACCCAACAAGGGCAATCGTGATTTCATGGTAGTTCTCTCCCTACAGTGAAGATGTATACATCAAGCTCTCTGTAGCTTAATGGCACTATCCATTAAATAGTCTAGTTTACTCAAGAAACTGCTGATAATTTTTCAACCTGCTTAACTATTTTCAAGGGAGAAAAGGCCACACAATGTTCTGATCTATTTAACAGTTAAAAATAATACATTGGTAATTTTATACGTTGGTGTTTTGTGAATATAGTTACCACAAATCAGTTTCTCTGAATCAAGTCAGCATTGAATAGAACAAAAGTCAAGTTTTCAGACCTTTAAAAGCAGACTCTTAAACTCAACACCAGCATGATCCTGTCTATGTACTCTGTTCTAAAAGAGCTTATGAGTGAGCTGGAATGAGAAATGCATGTATAACCTCTGGTTTTAATGACAGTTCCACCACTTATTAGACTTTGCATAAGTTATTCAACCTCTCTGAATGCCAGGATCCCTTTTGTAAATGGGGGTAATAATATTTAACACAAAGGGTTGTAGAAATAATCAAACAAACTAATGCATGCAAAATTCATTTTGCATAGTAGGTTTTCATTTCCATTAAAAAACTGCCCTAATATCCCCTCTTCCTAGCAACCGGCTGAGTTTGCTTTTTATTATTTTTATGTAATTTAACATTAAATTACATAATTTTGAAATTTTGAATACCATATATGTACTTTTGTGTCTACATGTGTGTCTAATTAACCAAAAAGTTAAAAGTGATTATCTCTAAAAGGTATATAAAATTTTCCTGTTTTCTGAACCCATATAAATTATATTTAATATTTTTAAAACTACCATTAAATGTCATTAACCTAATTCAATGATTCTTAAATTTGGCTTCACATTAGAATAATTAGGAGTTTTAAAAAATGCCACTGCCCAGATGTATTCCAGAGTAATTAATCATAATCCCTGAAGGCAAGATTCAAGCATTAGTACTTTTTTAAAGCTCCCCAAGTGAATCCATTTTGCAGCCAAAGGTAAAACTTTTGGTCTAATTCCAATGTTCTTAAATTCAGTCCTTAATGAGTAAAGAAATGACACCTTATAAAAGTTTGTAACATCTTGAGATTTCAATAAAAATTTTTTCCCAAATGACTTAAAATAGTTTACTAAATCTTACTACAAATTAAATGGCTGAACTCATCCAAATAAGTATTTAATATACTTTCAAAATCTTAGTTTTAACTTGTTTAATTTAGCTTATTTGAAAGAAAACAAAGTCGAACCTCTGCAAAATATGGATTTACGATATCATGTTTTTAATAGAAATCGCTGAAGCTCAAATGGCTCTCTTTGAGAGAGCTGCCGAGGACCTGCTGAAGTTTTAATGATAGTTGATCACATCAAATTGAAGAGGAAAAGATTTATTGAGACATCAGAAAACCTTGTGGTGGGAAGATACTTGAAAAGACATCAATAGCAGGTCACTGGCTGAAAAACAGAGGAAGGTAGCA